TTCGTACGCCCTTCCTATTGCGCATTCGGGAAAACGGAAGAAATTTGGGCGATGACGGGGAACATAGTTTGTAAAAAAAATCAGCCCAATCGGAGACGGCAGGTCCTTACGTTACCTTTGTGAGCTTCAGTTTGACGTAAATTTGATGAGTCTGGTGTTCGGTACGCGGATCAACAATCAACATTCCGAATTAGATACATTCCGCTCGTCCTCTCACCCTTCATCTAATTAAGTATACAAAAGTCAGTTGAAAAGATCAAATTTGAGAAATTCAATTGTTGAGGAAATGCCAGACTGACGCTAAACTTAAGCTCAGGCTAATCGTGTGTTTTGGCCTATGGAAACAGAGGGAAGCCTTTCATCATGCACAGACCTTAAGAGCAAGGCGGATAAAGAATAGTGGTCGCATTTTGTATCCTCTTGACTTTACAAGGAATCGTGCACATGGGTCGACCGAGGCCCGAGAGGGGGGAGGGGGGGGGGTTCGATTTGGCCTCGGAATACACGGCAAAACCCGTACCCTCTTGACATCACAAATCTTCAAGATAGCAGCCAAAATCGACATGCGACCACCATTGCTTTAACAGAAGGTGAACTTCCAGATCCGTTGCCCCACGTACTACTTCGATTAATTGGACTGCATTTTGCAATTTGGAACTAAAATATCTGGCTTAATTTAGAAATTATGTATGTACCGTTTGTTTTCCTATGCATACGAGTGTTTTTAGGGATGGGCTGAAAATTGTAGTTTCTAATTGCAAAATTTAGTCCAATTATCAATCTCAACCATTAGATTGTCATTCGGGAAAAAATGAAAGTCAGTTCCTAGGGTGATTAGAACAAGTTCATCTTTCAAAACTTTCAAACACACGTTACGAGCGACAATTGTGTAGTGAATCAGAAACAATACATTTGACTTTTAAATTATGAGGAATAAAGTTCGGGGTCAAATTCTAAAATGACTAAACTAGAGACTGACATTTTAGTTTTTTTAAACTAATCTTCTGATGACTTCTCTAAATGTATCGCCATCGCTTATCGAAGATGTGATTGGGATGAGGATGTACGGACCTGAAATATGGACGAAACTACACATATTACTCATCGACGGACATTTTTCAGTGGCGTGGCGTGCTTTGCGATGTATCGATTGATCTGTCACTTAAACATATGAAGAAGGATCGATCAACAGAATGTTCGCGACGGATACCATAATAATCGACTCTTCACCATAGCTCCAAATGGGAAAACATCGTCAATCGATCACTCACGCCTTGCCACTGATAGCTGTGTTGCATGGGGACGAAATGAAGGCGCGTTAGGGTTTGTTACACTTTCTAGGACAAGGTGCGTGGCGCATCATAGGCAGTCATGTTTCTAGACAACACATTACTTTGTGCGTCATCCACTTTCAAAATGGAAACTCCAAAAGTAGAGAGTGCTAAAATTGCGCATGGATTTACTTTCCTACTGCGCCGTTTTGCGACTTTAGCCTGGTGTGATTAACGTCATTACGAATTATGGGTCTCCCTCTGACCGCTACGCAGGTCAACCTCTAACAGGGAAAGTGTCTACAGAATGTGGTTTCACGGCATACATAAACCTGGACCATCCCCTGACTGAAGAGAATGTATATATTACATCTTTGGTATGTATACTGCGGTTGACAGGTAAGCGATTTTTAACGTTTAGAATAAATCAGGTTGGGTTTTTTCTTCTTCTTTTTGGCGCTACGAAAATGCAATGATAAAAACTATAGTGTGAAGTTAACATTCCTAATTATTATAGGTTTTCAATTAAAAATCCTTAGCTTGTAAAATTGACTATTTTGCAAAATTACGAAGTACGAAGACAGAGGAACCCGTTTGGAGGGGGTAATCTGCTGTTTGCTGGAAAATAATGGGAATCAGCCAGGTGCAACAACCTGCGACGAAAAATAAAGATTCGGGGAGTCCGAGGGCTTAGAGTGATGATCATTTTGAATGCATGTGACTCCGAGGACGGCATTCCATTTGGCTCTGAAGCAAGGAGCGAGAACAACGCAGCCATTTTCAAAACAACAAGTACTCATCAATTAGCTGACTGTGCGTATTCTGAATTCCCTGCTGCAGCCTCGAGATCTCTTCACAGCGTAACCTAATTTCCCGGCTTCGCGTTTATGCCAGATCAAATCGGAAACTCATGATGTCTATCGTCTGGTGGCGGGAAAGCATTTGAATATCCAGGATTTCCTGTAAATTTGCTGGCGACGATGTCGTTGTCACCGTACAACGCGAGGCGAGCTGTCACGCATTCGGCAGTTCAGCGTTGCCGATTTTCCTACTTTCTGGCAGATTTTTCATCATGAACCACATTCGTCCCGGCGGATTCTTTTCCAGAGTTGGCAACATTGTGCTCGATTCTTGGAAAGTAACGTCCAGACCCTTGCTCGAAAGGCAAGGAACGAGGCATCACTCCCAATTTACCGTGCGTAGATTGGATTTTCCGGCTCTACCTCAGGCCCTTGGCTCTTTCTTTTCACTGAAATGCAATGATGTGATGTTTTGCCCCATCCCGGACTTGTTTTATGTGTGCAGCAGGATTAAAACAAACACGAATCACGAATTAAACAACTAGAACGGAGGTTTTCATTGGCCCTCTCCTTTTTTTGCCCTACCAAAAAAGCTTTATAGCTTCGTTACGTTCGCTCTTTGTAAAGCGTTAGATGAGCCAGTCTGCTCCTAATTTTCTCAAGGGGAAAAAAGAGGTAAAGGGATTAACTCCTAACTTAGACACTTCCAATTAATTTCGGTGGTAACCTAATAAATTAAGTCACTGACCCAAAGGTTGCGATACTTCCTCAACTTGAGTTGCAGTACTACCAAAGTGAATGGGCAATGTCCATATCATTCAGCAAATTGGGCTTGTAGGTACCACAAATTAAGGGGATAACCCCAAACAATTTTTTTCGAGTTGCGTAGGAAACACGAGCATACGTTGGGTAGTCGGATTTTTATGTTCAAGATATTTCAAAGTCATATAATTTTCAAATCCAAGAAAACATGTCACCCTACAAATAGCGATAGGTTCTGATCCGCTCATTTTTGCCGATAAAGGTCCAGCAAATTGCACTATTTGGCAACGATGCACAAATACGGAAGATATCATAAATGATAGATAGGATACAATTTTTACATATTCCTAAGTAAATTAAATAAGAAGATTCAGAAGCAGGTAGGTTAAGTGTAAGATTGTTGATAAAGTAAGGCGAATAATTGCCGCAAATCTCCATTTTATTTATGCATTCATAACTTATTTACTTGTTTCTTAGTTTTTTTGTTGTTGATGAAATACGCAAATTGTCATATCTTCGTGCTGTGACGATGTACGAATGCAATAAATGACACATTTTGCTATCACAAACGTAATAATTGACAGCGCTCCGGCTGTTAGAATGGCTAAGTTTAAGGATGCAACTATTCGTGTTCTTGGGATGTCCGGGTTGCATACAAAAAAATCGCAGGCGCTCTGACTTTCTAAAGCACCAAGTATGGCTGCGGTCGGTAGTTCCCTAGAGTTTTCTACCTTGCCCTTGCAATCGTGACACTATCATGGAATCCTTGAAATTCGGCTGAGTCATTTGGCACCATGGCAGCGTTGCAAAATGGTACAAATTACGGAAATATCATCGATTTACGTTAATGTTGCGCTCAGACACTAAATAGCATGATACACGTATTTCAACTCCTCGGTGGCTTGGTACCAATTAGTTCGCCTCAAACACGATATCAACACATTCTAAGGAACGTATTGAGAGCAACATTGCATCAACATCGATGGCCAAAGTGCGAAACCACGTATGTCCATTTACGACGTTCCAGGTATCATACTTCATTCTTCTTTAGAAAACTAGTCGACGTAATTTCTTGGAAACTTCCTTGATTTTTCCTTTCTGTTGTCAGAATATTCCGTATAAATTTTGGGTACGTAAGTTAGCTTGTTCCTCTTTTGAACGAAAATTTTGAAAAACCACAAATGGAGTTACGTGGTTTCGCACTTAGGCCATCAACATGCTAATATCTTAATGGGTCTTGAGACCTCACGATATCATGTTGGTGTCAAGTTGATACCCTCATTGTCATAATATCAAAATGGTGCTGATAATTTTGCCCGTCATTTGGTGTTAAATTGACTGAAATTGCCTTAGGTTAGCGCACACCGTGATATCTATCTGCTTAATTCACAAACTTTAAAGGTTGTGCAGTAAAATGGAACGTTGAGCAACTAAACTGTGAGATGCGACTATTTTGACTCTGGGGTAAGAATAAATACACCTTTAGCGACAAAAAAAACACTAAAAACTAGGATTTTCGACGTCTTCTCTCGTATATAGAATATCAGATAAATATGGCAACGACGGAAATTCATTAGCTGACATGGCGTCGAGAGAGTGACGTTCATCAAAGGGAACGACGTGATTTTCGCTGAATTTAAATCTGTCACTAATTAGAGACGTTTCTACTGTGAATGATGTTTGTACATAAGGGCGCTTTTATAAAAAGGCTCGTGCATTTGGTGTAAGTACTTACTTCTGATAAACGATGTCTATTCATCCTCGTCAAAAAAATCATTGAGTATAGTTTAGGTGTGAAAAAGTGTAACCGTGTGCAACACGAATTTTCGTAAAAATGGCGAAACCTTCAAATACGAAGGAAGGAAATTGCATATTAAAGGTTTTATGATATAAATAGAATAAACAGGGTTGCAATAAAATTTAAAAAATGAAATTTCCAGACATTTCCCTGACGAATTTGAGTAGAATTCCCAGACAATTGAGGATGTGCCATACGGCCGAAAAGACATACTTTGAAATAGTTTCCAGGCGAAATTTGTTGTTCTAGACGTTAAGTCCATTCTAGAGAGCGGATAGAGGTAAAATAACAATTATTCCCTGACATTTCCCGGCATTCCCTCACTGTGGCAATCCTGAATAAATAAAAATGAATAAAATAACTACTCACCAGAAAAGGCAGACTGGAATTGGAAAAAACATAACGACAACAGCACGGCCAGACTTCTTCCCGAGGAGCACCGGTTGTCTTGGGCCATACTGTGTCCTGAAAAAAAACATACAATTATTAGAAAGATTTATTCCTGAATGGCGTACAGAATGATTTGAAATTTTGATAGCCGTTTTACAATAACCAGATTGTTTGCTTCACGTGTTCATAAAGACACGAAAAAGCGTTACACGAAACTATACCATGAAATTTCTCGAAAGACTTGGCCTTTAATAGATGCCCAAAATTTTTTCTATACGAAACCCCAAGCCGGGTCAAATTGACCCGTATTTAAAATACACAAATTTTGATAGACTTGGAAGTATTTTCTGTGTTTTTTTCTGCGTCTTTCAGGGAAGAAATACACTTTTTAAAAAAAAAAATTTCACCGTTTTGGTAGCATACTGGCGCTTTCTTATTCCCCCTTATCATCCGCCATATGTAACCCCCCCCCCCCCCCCCCCCCNGAAAAGATAGTCGGGTCGGCTTGGGATTTCTAGGGATAGTCGTCCCTGTATATAAAAATACAACAGATATGTAATATTTTGTAATATAAAAAATTCCCTGGCACGATACGACTCTCGCCAAAATGCCAATTTTCAGACGTGCGCCCTTTGGGGTTCATGATATACTTTTGAAGGTGTATTTTTCTTCAGAAGTTAAAAAACGAGGCAATGACGTCTCTTCTATTTTAGGGTACGTTGCTCACGTAGCCCTCGAAGCAACACTACAAATAAGACACGCGGAAACAAACACAAAATGAAAACAGAGCGAAGGAGAAGACGCGCGATGGTGACGGCGCAGAGATACAACTATTCGTACTTGATGGATGTCCGTGCAGCATCTGCAAAATTGAAGGCGTTATGGCGAGCGCGTGAGCTTGCAATACTCCGCTCTATGCAGTCATTTTGATGTCGCTCAGATTCGACAGAAAAATTAAAATACGAGGCCCGATTACGTCTCTCTTATCTTCGGCCACGTTGACAATCGATTTTTTTTTCATTTAGATATCTAATTCTTTTTTTAAGACATATTTTTAGAACTGTATCTTAACTTTCTTACATACCGAGCCCATAACTCCTCCCGAAGAGATGGTCGGGTCAATTCGACCTGGCTTGGTATATCTAGGGATAGTTGTCCAAAAATTTATTTCACATACTCTATTTTCTTCTTCTTTCTGGATTCAATGTCTGATTCATTTTATACGATCTATTCCTAGACCTATATCTAAAGTTCGTGTTTGTTCCGGCCTGATGCAACCCTCGCGGCACTTTTTCAGTGGCGTGGCGTGATTTGCGATAAATCGATTTATCTACCATTTGAAACGAAAGTAAAAGATCGATTGGCAGGGTGCTCGCAATGAACATCTTAATAATCGATCTTTTACCATAGCTTCAAATGGGGAAATATCGATAGTTGATCATTCACGCCTCGCTACTGACTTGTTTTCGGTAAGCCTTGGGTCAATTTAACTCGGCTTGGGCATCTAAGGGTTAAAGAAGTATTTATCTATGCAGGTAAAAAGGTTGTGAGCCCACTTTAAGCTTTTAGGTAAAGATTGCATCTCAGATAGAAAAAAAACTTCGACTCATATGACACCGATGTTTTTAGTCCAGGAAACTTATGTTTTAAATCGAGTGAGATGAACCAAACTTCGATTAAATTGACCAAAGTTTTACAGTTACAGTTACTGCAATAGTGGTTGGATGAACGATTCATTGTGGATCGCCGAATTAAATGCCCTAGCTTCTCGATCATCGACCGCAACAAAGGAACAACAGTGTGATGAAATGGCACGACTGACCAATCACATTAGTAATTTAATGTCAGTTCAGTCTCATCCTACCCTATTAACATGAACAAAATTTTATTAATCGGCTTAAACTAGTCAAAAATATGTCATAACTTTTTGGAATAAAGATTTATTTTCAAATAGGTTTTAAATCAGTAAAAATGATCAACCCTTGAACATTTTCTGGGCGAGGACGGTCCTCTTGCCCTGTACTCGGCGATTTATCATTTCGCTTTTTACATTGACACCATTGGCTCAAATTTGTGGGGAATTACCGAGGAGACAAAATAAATAAAACACTCCTGGGGGAGCTAGGGAAAATTTACAAAGGACTCGAGACTAAAGTTGGAGCTTAAATTGCTTTAAAAAAGTTGGAATGTAGGTCAATGTTTCAACATTTTCCTTTCGGAAAAACCCTTAAACCCCCTTGAGAGCTGCTCCTCTTGATATTATAGTGCCTATCACGTGATTGGCTCAATGACCATTCTTAGAGGAAATGTGTGGTTCCACCGTTGAAAGCCCGTGTGGTTCTAATTTAGTCAAACTCTGTGAAAAGCGCGCAGAGTAAGTGCGACTCAAACTTTTGTAGACCCAGAAAATGTCCCAAATGTCATACTTCTAGCGAAAAGTTCGGGAGATTCTGAGGGATAGGTAGTTCTAATTGATTTAAATCCTATAAAAAGCGCGCAGAGTTGGTGTAACTCAAATTCTCGTATTCAAACCCAGTAACTGTCCTGAATTGCTAACTTCTAGAGAAAATTTCGAGAGATTCTGATAGATATGTACCCTCCCCCTTTGTGATACCCGGGGCTAGTCGGACTGTCAAACTTAGACGACAAGTTCCCGGGCTGCTTTTCGGAGCCAGTCCGCCTCTGTATCCAAACGCCAAGATCAATAAACTCTGTGACTCACTGAGCACCTAATTCATTCCGCTGCCGGGCGAGGAGCGGGTCTGCGGGATGCTGGGTTATCAATGAGAGCGCTAACGCGCAGCTCGCGCCATCTATACGAGCTCACTGAAACTAAGTTCGAGGGAGGCATCAAACAAGTGGCGCTTCTCGTGGAGGATCGGCATCAACAACCACCCACATACGGCGCCAAGTAAGTCATGTCTAGAGTCCCTGAGAGTCAAGACAACACCCCCTCATGGAGTCGCAAACGGGAATAAAGATTGGCGGGTCCAGCAAATCGGGAACATTGTTTTTTCCCCCATTTAAACCAATAGAAATGTATCGATTCTCGTAGGGGCTAGGTGCTCCGACAAGAATCGATTATTCAGCATATGTTTAAATGTCATGTCCCAACGGGAACATCTCACGGAGCAAGTCAAAGGAGGACAGTCAAGATATCATGTGGCTTTCTATTATTAATTTTGAATTTTGACGTCATTCTAAGCGAAACTATAGAAAACATTTTTCTCAGGGAGGGGCGGCTATGACCTTTTTACCCCTCACAGAAGTCTAGGGGTACTGGACGGCTCTAAACGCGATCACAACTTTTCTGGAAGGGGCCACCAGCCTTTGGAAGGGGTAGGGTCAGCTTCCCTCGAGTCCCGGTCCTTCTTGGGTACGTCCTCACTCTAACAAAAGTTGTTAAACAAGCATGCCTTTGGGGAGCTCATCAAATGAATGCACGTAGTACATTCATGCATGAATTACGTCGGTTTTTTATTGAAGTTGCTGTATTAAATGTCCAATCATAATGAAATGGCAACATTTGGTCCATTAATTTTTCGATTGTTTTTTACTTTTAACCGCCACAGACTCCCGTATAAATGACCAGTTGCTACTTGTACGTCCTTTCACCCTCTTTCATTCGCCTGCGTGGATTTTCACCCACGGTGCCTACACCACCATGTTAGCGGCGCATGTTAGCGCCTACAGGACTATAGGAATACTTCACGCATTGCGCCAAACTGTATTGCGGTCGAAGGTCGGCGTGAGGAGCATATGGGCAATTCTACGAGAACTGTCCGATTTGACCTTTAAGGGCAATATACTCGAGGGGCACTTGCCTGCAATTTAGCTGCGGGATTTATTTATTTATTTATTTTTTTAAATCAAGAAAACTCCTCTAACTTTAACCTCACCCTTTGGCAGTGTTCGGGCTGGCTAAAGGTATATTTCATAAATGACCCTTACAGTGGCAAGGCGTGAATGATTTACTATCGATACTTCCCCATTTGTAGCTAAGGCAAAGAATCGATTATTAAGGTGTTCGTTGCGAACACACTGTGGACGAAGCCTTTTCCATGGGTTTAAATGACAGATCAATCGATGGAGCGGAAAGCACGCCACGACGCCACGCTATTGGGCCCTAAGAATCTGATAAAGAGTGATTTATTGGGCATGCTGTCGAAAATAGAGAACTTATCGGGCAAACAACCCCTTGTCAATGCTTGAAATTAAATTAAATTAGATAGGTACACCTTGGTCCCCCTTCAAACCGCCCCGTCAAAAATCCAGGTTTTTTCACTTCATCATCCATTATACAGTATCATAAAGAGACTGTTCAACAGAGAGTTCAACAGAGACTGCTTTGCCTCTCTTTATGCAAAATTCAATGCGAGTTGAGGTCAGAGATTAACCGGATAAGACTAGCCCAACATTCAGTTTAAAGGAGGGTGCGGGGTGCGACAGGCCAAAATCGCTCCAAAGGACTATTTTAGCTGGTTTTTGGATCTACGTCTTTACAGAAAGGATAGTTGGAGTCAGTAATGAAGTGTGAAAAATTAATTAAAATCACTCGAGAATCATGAAGATTTTTTTTAACCAACAAAAAAATCACTATTGGGAAGTGGTTTTTAAATGAACAGGCTCAATGAAAGCTCGTTGAGCGCTAATTAGTTACTCTCAGAAGTTTTGCTTTTTCCAACCGCAATGAGATACATTTGTCACCGTCAAAAGCCGGAATCCAGTTAAATCGCGATTTGAGAAGAGGCGCTTGTTCACATATGATTTGTTTTAATGAATATTTGGCTTTTGACCGGTGAAATTTCAATTTGACCAGGTAGGTTGGATTAGTCACATCCCGAATCGACACGAGACCGATAATTGCCCGAAAAAAATAGTCACCTACCGACCAAAGTATCACAAGCGCCATGCAACGTTTAAAAATTTCCGCCGCCATTTTATTTTTTAACAGAGAAATTGTTGGTTGAATCTGTTTGAAAATTATATTGAATTTCATCGGCAGCACAAAGAAAATTTAGTGAAATTTTCAGACAACTTCGTTAAACAATTTCTCTGTAAAAAATAAAATGGCG